AGTCTGTGAAGAATTGTGTTGGGATTTTGATGGGGATTGCATTGAATCTGTAGATTGCTTTTGGTAAGATTGCCATTTTTACTATGTTAATCCTATCTATCCATGAGCATGGGAGATCCTTCCATTTTCTGATATCTTCTTCAATTTCTTCTGAAGATAGTTTTTTAAAATTTTTTTTTGAAGATTTTAAAAAAAAGATTTTAAAAAAAAAATGCAACTTCACGTGTGTGCATGTTCCCAGGGAGGCCAGAAGAGGGCATTAGTCCTCCACCAGCTAAGCTATCTCCATAGCCTGCCCCCCCCCAATATTTTTTTTGAGTGCTTGTTTTGAAGATGGTTTTATATTTGTGTGTGCGCGCATGCCTGTGGAGACAGGAGGAGGTGTTGGGTCTCCTGGAATTGCGTTGCAAGCATAAGCTGCCTGGTGTGGGTGAAGAACTGAACTGCAGTTTTCTGAGGGAGCTGAGCCTTCTCTGTTCTTTAGATCATTACCTTTGACTCAGAGGTCACTGTCTTAGTTAGGGTTTCGATTGCTGTGAAGAGACCTCATGACAGGCCGACTTGGTGCTGGGAAGGAGCGGAGAGTTCTACATTTAGATCACAGGCAGCAGGAAGTGGACTGTGTCCACAGTGGGTATGGCTTGAGCACATATGAGACCTCGAAGCCCACCCCACAGTGACACACACCCTCCAACAAAGCCGCACCTCCAAATAGTGCCCCTCCCAAACCACCACAGTTACTAATGAACATGTTGCTTAATTTCCAGATTTGGGGGAAGTGTCTGGTTTTCCTTCCAGTACTGTGTTCTGGTTCATTCATTGCAGGAAATCTGCTTGATAATAATATTCATGATGCCTTGGATTTGTGTGTGATACACCACGTAGTAAGAGCCCTGTGGCTTGAATTGCTTACAGCGTGTCTCATAAGGCAAGGACGGTGGTGAGCTCACTCAGCTTGTGTTCATTTGGAAAGGTCCATATTTTGTCTGTACTTCTTTTTCTCTTCTCCTTCCCCCCACCTTCCCCTCTCCTCTCCTCCCCTCCCCTCTCCTCCTCCTCTTGGGTGGTGGAGACTGGACCCAGGGCCACACATGCTAAGTAAACAGTTTCCCACTGACCTGCTCTCCAGCCCTGTGTTCAAAAGCTCTGCTCTGCTGGGTCTAGGGATGCCATGTTTCTCGTGTTATGGTTTGGTTTTCTTCTCCACGATTTTCAGAAGGCTCCATTCTTTCCTTCAAGATGGCTGCCGAGGAATGTGCCCATAGTCTAACAGAGAGTTTTTCCCCTTCTATTTTTTTTAAGCTTTTTCTTTAACTTTAGACAATTTCATTATAATATGTCTTGGTGTCCTTTGGGTTCAACTTTTTGGGGACCTATGGGTTTCATGAATCTGGACAGCTATTTTACTTCTCAAGTTTGGGAGGCATTTAGTCATTTGTTTAAATAGACAGTGTTTGTGTGCATTTGCGTGTGTGTGTGTGTGTGTGTGTGTGTGTGTGTGTGTGTGTGTGTAGAAAGAATCTGAGAACAGGATGTTAGTATGAAGGAGAAAAAGTAAATTATCCTATGGAAAATTATGGTACTGTTTTTTCTAATGATTGTATAATTGGAAAGCGTTCAGAAAAGCTGGCATAAAATAATTAAAATAAATGAACAGATAGGATTTCATAGTAGCCATCCTAGATAGGGCTATGGAAATTTTTCTTTCTATTTCTATGTATTTTATAAATATTTAACTAGAGACAGTAGCTCATACCTGTAATCCTTGAACTCAGGAGGCTGAGGCAGGAGAATCTTAAACTTGAGGCTAGCCTGGGCTACATAGTGACCCTTCATCTCAAAATACACACAAAATGAGTTTTAGATGCCTGTACTTCGTGACTCCATTGCCTTCACCCCGTCTGCTCTGGGCTGTCATGAGGGAGCAGCTCCGCTTAGCACCTCTCCTCCTCCTCCTC